GGTTCTGCTAACCATAACTTGGCAACACTCTGGCACTGAAGACAGGTCTGGCTGCTGCTTATGTAGCTGGTCTCCTGATCAGCTGATGATCCTCAGGTGTGCCTGAAGCTCCTGCTCAGGAGACCCAGGGCGCTCTCTGCTGGAGACAGGTGGCAGAAACTCCAGATCCCAACAGTTAGAGAAAGTTAGAATAAATGTGGAAGGTGTACCTTCTCTGCAGGAAGATCCGGAATATGGATGCAAAACATTGGGGAAAATAAGGGCGAATTATACAGTCAGAACCCCATGAGGCGTAACATATAAACATCAAGTGCAAATGGGTGAAGAACAGAGACAGCAGTGGACCGCTGTGGCAGACGCAGCACGCACTGCAGTTTTCCACAGCAGAGCGGATTATGGACATTCATAAAGCAAATAATATTCAAATATTCTTGGCCGATTCTATATGTGAGCCAGAAGAAACATTTCTTTCCAAGCCACCGGACCCCATCGAAGGCATCAAGGAGGTTTCCGAGGAGGCCAGGGCGGGTTAGGGGTCGCGGGTTAGGGGTCGAGGGGACTTTCAGCCCAGACCAGTAAAAGCAGACCAGGAATGCTGGAATTTTGGGTCATCCGACCATTGGTTTAGGGAGTGTCCCAAACAGATACAATCAGCTGATCTGCAGGGCAGGGGAAGAGTCCACAGGGCAGTCCTTCATCTGAGGTGTGATTAGCTGCTAGAGCAAATGGGAATCAGCGGGCATTAAAAACAGTGGATATGTATGGAGCATGAGAGCTATTAAATGCATTAAAAGAAAAAACATACATAGAACTTACAATTAATGGACAGCCAGCTACTTTTTTATGTGATTCAGGAGCCTGTAAAACTTGTATTAAAGATAACGTAGGACTAAAAGCATCTAAAATGTCCCTTTTTTGTAAAATCAGCGAAAGGTCAAACATCCCCAAAAAAAATGGGTGTTAAAGGAATAGTACACCCAAAACATGATTAGCCTTCATTTTCTACTCACCCCCATGCTGAACAACACTCTGGAGTACTTTTTTGATATCTCAAATGCATCTGGAGATCTGGGAGGCTTC